TTCACATGCAATCTGAAATACTTCCATCAAACTGGTCAACACAGCCTTCATGTAAGTCATCATATATTATGAGTCATCTGGGAAATGTAAATTAAAACCATAAATGATACTGCTACATCTACATAAATAACTACCACAATGGCTAAAATGAAAACAACAAATAATACCAAGTGTTGGTAAGGATATGGAGCAACTAGAACTCTCAGACATTCCTTCTTTTTTAGACAGAGTCTCACTTTGTCACCCTTGGTAGCGAGCATCATAGCTCACAGCAGCCTCAAACTCTTGGGCTTCAGCAATCCTCTTGCCTCAGCCTCTCAAGCAGCTGGGACTACAGGCGCCCGCCACAATGCCTGGCTCTTTTTAGAGACGAGGGCTCCCTCTGGCTCAGGCTGGTCATGAACCTGTGAGCTCAGGCAATTCACCTGCCTCAGCCTCCCAGAGTGCTAGTACTACAGGCATGAGCCACTGTATCTGGGCTTCTTAAATACTCCTGATGAGAGTATAAATTGGGACAAACACTTTGAAAAATTTTGGTAATACCTGCCAAAGCTAAACATTTGCATAAATTGAAGCTAGCAATCTCCCTCCTAAGTCCACACTCAACAAAAATGTGTACATGTATTCACCAAAATCTGTGGGCTAGAATGTTCACAGCAGCACTATTTGGAATAGTCCCAAATTAGAGCTATCCAAATGCCCACGGACAGTAGAATGACTCATGTTATATTCATATGTGGGGCTCTCCTACAGTAAGAACAACAAACTACAGCTACAGGCAACAACATAAATGAACGTCATATACAATACCGAACACAAGAAGCCCAGACACAAAAGAGTACATAGCACCTGATTCCACTTACAAAAAATTCAATAACTGATCATGTAAGAAGTCAGGACAGTGGTCAGCCTTACAGGAAAGGTATTAGTAGAGGGTATGAAGAAGGCTGGTAATGTTCAATTTGTTGACCTGGGTGCTGGTCACACTTCATAAAAATTCATTAGGCTATACTATACATGTATGATTTTTACTGTATATTACAGTTCCAAGAAATTGGGGCAGATAGAAAATAAGGGTGGAAAGATAAATGAAATGAAGATGGAAGTTAACACACAAAAATAAAAATTTATTTGTAAGATATCTGGCAGGAGTTAATCAGTTAAATGATTCAGTATTTATTAGACAAAAACAAGCCAATTGTGCTTAGGAAAAATGAAATTATTCTCCAAACTAAGATCTCAGAGAAATTTCTACTAAGGGTTCTCAGAACAAGATGTTGTGAAACCCAGTGACACAGCATATGCTCTCAGCCACATCCTTGCAAGCAGATGCCACAGTGATTGACACAATGACCTTCTCCATAGACTGAGGTCATGAAACCAAAGCACACTTCAAAGGGAGTAACTGGACTCAAGGAGTAGAAAGGGAACAGCAAAACACTGTCATGTGGGTGTGCAACTCTGATGATTTAGATCTACACAGCCTTTAGACCAGCAGTTCTCAACCTGTGGGTTGCGACCCACAGAAACTGTATTAAAGGGTCGCAGCATTAGGAAGGTTGAGAACCACTGCTTTAGACTGTCTCCCATAAACAGTCTTACTCTAAAAACACTTTTTCAAAAGCATTGCCTGGTAGTGAGTTGAAGGTCACACTCTCTGAGACGGGGGAGTCCAGCTATTTTATAGAACAGGGCAAGGAGGAAATATAGCTATTCATTAGAACGGTCAGTGGAACTGGGGGACTGGACTAATAATCTCTGAAAAGGCAGCCAATGAAAGTTACTTCATGCACCTACTTCTGCCTTTCTTTATGACTTTTTTTCTTCCTCCAGGAGGAATAACATGCAGAAAATGATTACATTATTATTCATGTCCCGTTCATGAATAAAGATGTGCTTTTTCCTAAAAGTATGTTTTAAGCAAGATATTGTACAACCCACCCTTTATACTATGACAATCTTATCTTCCTAAAATACAGCACTGCAGCTGCCCTCCTCAGTAATTTACAGTGGCTCTCCATAGTCTACTGGACAAACTTCAAAATTATTAGCGTGAATGCCTAACCCTGACTTTCCAGTCTTATCTCTTAACTCTCCCTACACGCTCTATGCTCCCAATCATACCTCACTAGTCAGTATTTTCCAAACATGCCACACGCTCCCAGACCTCCTCTTGCCTTTGTTTATGTTGGTCAAACCTGATGTTTTGTCACAGGGAAAGAAGAAATCAGGGGTCCAGAGTTTGCAGCAAGGCCCCTTGTCTGTCACTTCACTACTTCTGTGGCAGGAGCATCTAACTGATTTTATGATTCCTGCCTTCTACAAACTCACCACCGGCCTCCATGTCACAGGACAGAGTCCTAAATGAAAACACCCCTTTGAACATGTGCATGAGCCAGGGAATCACTTACCCTACAATATGGCTCCTTCTTCTTTATATCCTCCTGCTGGATCAACCTCAGGCCTTGGACACCATTCTGCAGGCCTCTCTCGTATAGGGCCTGAAGTCTTGGAATTTCTTCTTGTTCAACGGCCACTATAAGCTTTAAAAAATAAAAATGATAAAGCACATGGATAGAGTTAAATATATCATCAGACATGAAAGATAAATTTAATGGAAAATCAGAAATTATGACTCAAATAGGTTTGATTCAGAAAAAATATTTGTTCTGGACAACACAGAACCTGTCCCTACAAAAAAATTTTTTTAGTTAAAAATAAAAGGTTGAATGGTATGATATCTAAATTACATGTTACTTAGAAAATTACATGAAGTCACACCATCATTTGTTTAGCTATTCCCTAACATTAGATAGCACAGATTATATAGATACAAAGAAAAAAAAGACAGTTAATTTTAGAATTAATATTAAACATCAGTAAGAAAATGCTAGTTATGCTAAACAAATCAAGACCTTAGTAGAAGGCCATACCTTGCCACATTGCTTGTAGGAAATTCCCTTTTGGTTACAATACTCATAGAGAAGGGCTGCACCTTGTACACATAATTTAGCTTTCAGAGATTCAGGTTTATAATAAATTCCACTATGTATGACACCACTGTTATGTCCAGTCTGGTGAACAGCTACAGAACAAGAGAAATGAGGTAAAAGAAAGTACATGACTCATACAAAACATAGAGGTTAGAGAATGAACTTATAATTAAAGCTGTTCGAGACCACATCATTTAAAGTTCCGCCTGAATTTATTCAAATCACTGCTAACTTCCTCTAGCAGCTACCCCTGGTTATCTCTGTTTCAACTCTCCAACCCACCTCAGATTCCAGCTACAAACTTGCCTCTCACACCCACAAACTGCTTTAGGGGCCCACAGGGCTCTTAGCATTATGCCCCAGGGCCTTTGGGGTTTTTTGGAGTGGGGGCACACTGGGATACTCAAAAACCACTAGTAGCTGGCAACCTCAACCAGTAGAGACAGGAGTTGATGGATAAATGAGCATAACCCTGGGAATCACACTGTTCCTCAGAGATCCCAGTGAAATGAGGCAGCAGTGACCTTGACAGTGCACCCACATGTGACTTTTTCTCCTTCCCTGTCATATTGTCCCTATCTCCTCACTCCTGTCTCCCCAAATAAACCTGTCAAATAAATCACCTACATCCTCTCCTTTCAAGAAAACTCAAACTAAGATGCTAACATCAATAGTCAGCATGAAAGATTCAGAACTGACAGAATGAGCAGGTGCCCACGTAAGCCCAAAGAGCAACAATGAACACATACATACCTAAATCTTTCTCCTTTTCCAGAACTCCGATCGAAAGTGCTGGATGTCGCAGGATAAGCGCTCTGGCAGAGGCAAGCCCCACAATTCCACCACCAACAATGACTACGTCAAACGAGCTTTAAGAGAAAGACACCCAAGAATGCACGCTTACAGAATTCACTGAACTTCACACACACGGTTCATCATCAACAGACAATTAAACTACTGATTTGTAACCATTAAAATCAAGTTATCTATTGGGTTTTCTGCTATTTGGCTTCACATTCATGAAAAAACCGTTAGAAATGACAAGCGTTGCTGGTCAGCAGCATGGTCAGCTCTAGCCTACTGGCTTGAAGCTGCTCCAGTTCTCCATAGCATCCCTCCCAGGCTGCTTACACAAGTCGTATCTGAACACCGCTTACCAACAGGAATACATTCTAAGAAATACTTTGTTAGGCAATTTTTTGTGCAAACGTCACAGAGTGTACTTACATAAACCCAGATGTTCCTAGACCTAGGTTGTTCCTAGACTACATGGCATGGCTGTTGCTCGCAGGCTACTAATCTACGGTACTAAATACCATAGGCATTTGTAGCACAACGGCTAAACACAGAAAAAGTACAGGTGAGATGTGGCATTATAAAATGTGGTACATGAGTGTACTTTTAAGCACCATTAACCTAGGTCTTCTAGGAACAGCAGAGTGAGAATTTCAGAGATTAGGCCTTTTCTTTAAAAAGTGATCTAAGTTTTAATTTCAAAATCTTTAACAGAAACATGTCGATATAATTATAATTGTTACTGTATCTGTGGCTACATTTGGAAACGAAAACAACTTCTAGACAACTAGGGACTAATGCATAAACTTGATAAATCAAATCCTGCATATTAAATTAATCTGGGGGCCATAAGTGTATAAAGTACCCTCCTTTAGCCACTGAGCCTCATAATTTAGACAGGGAGCCTCCAGATGGAGCTCCTTGGATGGTTATCCCCTGCAGCACTTTTAGACAGCTGGAGAAAAGAGTTGTCAAGGGAAGTGTGCGATGGGGTACAATCGCCATATAAGTGCAATGGGATTCCGAATTCACATTAATACCAGTTAGTGGCAAAGGCTGACAGTGGTCAAATAAAAAATTACTAGTATAATCAGAGTGTTATGTGGAAGCCCAAAGCTTTAAACAAGTTTTTTAAAACATAAATTTCAGGGGTGGTGCCTGTGGCTCAGTAAGTAGGGCACTGGCCCCATATACCAAGGGTGGCAAGTTCAAACCCAGCCCCAGCCAAATAGCAACAAAAAATAAAATCATACATGAAAAAAAAACCCCATAAATTTCAATAGATAAAAGGTAAAGAAAGCACTCCCATTCCCCTACAGTAACTTACACTGATTTACAGCCATTGACCCATTACATAACCAGCTCACGCCTGTAATCCTAGCACTCTGGGAGGCTAAGGCAAGTGGATTGCTTGATTTCATGAGTTAGAGACCAGCCTGAGCCAGAGAGACCTTATCTCTAAAAAATAGACGAGTGTTGTGGAGGGCACCTGTAGTCCCAGCTACTCTGGAGGCTGAGGAAGAGAATCACTTGAATTTGAGGTTGCTGTGAACTGAGCTGTGATGCCATGGCACCCTATTGAGGACAACAAAGTGAGACTCTGTCTGAAAAAAAAAAAAAAGGAATTCCAGAAGAACAAATAAAAAGAATTCCAAAATAATAACTATTATTTACCTAGGTTTCATATTTTCCAAAACCTTCATAATCTTCCACTACGTAGGTTTCAGAACATTTACAAATATTTATTTGTACATGAATGACTTAATCATATTTCATATATAGTTGTCTCTTGGCATCCACAGGGAACTGGTTCCAGGACCCCCAGGGATAACAAAATCCATGGATGCTCAAGTCTCTTACCTGAAATGGCACAGTATTTGCATATTGCCTAGGCACACCCTCCTATATACTATACACTTTAAATCATCTCTAGATTAATTCTAATGAAGAGAGTCTCTGAAAAGCAAAAAACAGCCCCTATCTACTATTCAGAGGGAACTCTGTAAAGCAGAGAACAACCCCAAGGGAAATGGTTCAAACTGACAAAACCAAGCAAAGCATTAACGTAGAAATGAACTCATTATTCAAAGGCAGATAGAACAGGGCAGAGGGGCACCTGTGAAAGCATATGTAGTGAGGACAAGCTAGAGTCAGGCAGCCTAAGGCAGGCTTGGCACAGCTGGTCTGGCTGGTCTAAGTCCTGCCAGACCTTCACTGTCTCCCATTCTTACTGTTTTGTAAACTTAGCTCCCACCCTAAAAATATCTATCTTGACTAGTTTAGGTGAATTGATTTAGGAGATTAACTTTTGAAGTGGAATGTTATAATAAGTCATTGAATTATGCTAAGGGTTAATATGATCTTTGCTCTGAACTCTGCAAATTAAGAAAAAATATCATATTGGAAAAAAGGTAGCTTTGGGTATATAAGAAGTAGAAATTTGGGTGGTGCCTGTGGCTCAAGGAGTAGGGTGCCAGTCCCATATGCTGGAGGTGGTGGGTTCTAACCCAGCTTCAGCAAAAAAAAAAAAAAAGTAGAAATTTGAATAAGGATTGGTGAGCCATTTCAGCCACCCCTCTACAGTTAAGCCTTGTCTTAACTTTTATAAAGCTTTTTTTATGTCTATCAATAAACTCTGAATACTCTAACATGACATGTACTCTTTATTTCATCCTGGTAGTCCTGTCTGCTCGGAAGGGGTGTGCCAACTGAAAGCCTCTGACCAGGGTACACCCTGGTGTGGCTTGGAGTGCCTCCCTAGACGGAATGTGAACAGATTGCCCATGAGAGTAGCAAGCAAGTTTTCTTTTTTCGTAGCTATCTTTTCACAAGGGACAGTCACCTATCCTAGTCTGTTTTTATAACTCTGTGCTGGTTAGTGGTGGTGTTTCAGGAAGATGAGGCCCAACGGAGAGAAAGATAATCCAAACACCATGTTTATAAGAGGAAGGTCTTTATTCACCAGCTGGGAGCTTAGCTTAAGGCATAGAAGAATTCCAAATGGCCGTGCTCCCTGACTGGCTTGGTCTTTCCCTTTTTATCATCAAAAAGATCCACCCCAAGGCGGCACCTGTGGCTCAAAAGAGTAGGGCTACCAGCCCCATATGCTGGAGTTGGTAGGTTCAAACCCAGCCCTGGCCAAAAAAAAGTTCCACCCCACAGGGATTCTTCTCATTGGCCAGTTTGAATCAAGCGGGAAATACTATTCCAGCACCTACAGAACTACAGGATTTCACAGAACTTGGAAATTTCCAAGTTCCAGGAAGTTTACAAATTCCCAAGAGCTAAGTCACTATGGAGAGGACCCCACAGGTATATCCTTGTGGTCTCCTTGAGAAGACCTGTTCTCCTAGACCTCACCCTTCTCAGGTATCCTCTCTCCGTGTTCTTTCAATTCTTTGTCTGACCACCCAAGAACCTGCTATTTAAAGCTCCAATATGAAGGCCAGGCATGGTGGCTGTACTAGTACTCTGGGAGGCAAAGGTGGGTGGAATGCCTGAGCTCACAAGTTCAAGACCAGCCTGAACAAGAGGGAGATCTCATCTCTAAAAATAGCCAGGCATTGTGCTGGGTGCCTGTTGTCCCAAGCTATAGGGGAGACTGAGGCAACAGAATCACGTGACCCCCAAGAGTTTGAGGTTGCTGTGAGCTGTGACATCATGGCACTCTACTGAGGGGCATAAAGTGGGACTCTGTCTCCAAAAAATTAAATAAATGAAAACAAAGCTCCAGTACACTTTGACTAATGCCTAAGACCATGTAAATGCTATGTAAATAGTTGTTATCCTGCATTATTTTCTATTGGTATTATTTTTATTTTTTTCAAATACATATGTACTTATATATATATTTTTGGCTTAGAATATATAATTTTTTTTTAACAGTCTTACTTGGTTGCCCTCAGTAGAGTGCTATGGCATCATAGCTCACAGCAACCTCATACTCTTGGGTTCAAGTGATCTTGCCTCAGCCTCCCAAGTAGCTGAGACTATAGGCACCAGCCACAACACCCAGCCATTTTTAGAGACAGGATCCTGCTCTTGCTCAAGCTGGTCTCAAACTTGTGAGCTAAAGCAATCCACCCACCTTGGCCTCCCAGAGTGCTAAGATTACAGATGTGAATCACTGTGCCTGGACCTTTCAAACATTTTGTTGTTGATGTTCAATAAAGTTTTATTTTTCCAAATATATGGTTGGTTGGACGTGTCCCTGCATCTTCACCAGCAGCTGGGCACTCCCACCCTTGCTATCTCTGGCATAAATTACTAGAGCTCTGTGCTTTGAAGATTTGTGGGAAGAGATGGCTCATGCCTGTCAGCAATCTGGGAAGCCAAGGCCAGTGGACTGCTTGAGCTCAGGAGTTTGAGACCAGCCTAAGCAAGAGGGAGACCCTATCTCTACTAAAAATGAAGAAACTGATGCAAGAGGATCAATTAAGCCCAAGAGTTTGAGGTTGCTGTGAGCTGGGACGCCATGGGACTCTACCAAGGGCAATGTAGAGACACTGTCTCAAGAAAAAAAAATCTTTTAAAATGTATTTTTGATCTGCAGTTGGTTGATCAAAGGTTGTACAGATGCAGAACCCATGGATGTGAGAACTGAATGTACTTGTTTTTCTATATCAGGATAAATTATCAATTGGTAAACTGTTAATATCCTACAAGAACCACTAAGTCCACAATAGGAAGGTGGAGGGGTGAAAGAGTGATACCTTTCATGCTGTTTTTTTTCTTAAAGTTCAGCTATGACTCTATTCTTCGCCTTCAAGTCTCAGTTTTCTAAACAAAACGTTCACTAACCCTAATTTTCTTTTGTTAAGACAATGTTCCCAGCCCCAACACGTGGCTCACACCTGTAATCCTAGCACTCCAGGAAGCCAAGTGGGTTGACTGAGTTCAGGAGTTGGAGACCAGCCTGAGCAAGAGAGAGACTTTCTCTACCAAAAATAGAAAAACTAGCCAAGCATAGTGGCACACTTAGGAGGCTCAGGCAAGAGGCATGCTCAAGCCCAAGAGTTTGAGTTTGCTGTAAGCTATGACACCAGGCCACCTGTAGTCCCAGCTACACAGAGGCAGGAGGATCGCTTGAGCCGGAGACTGAGGCTGCTGTGATCTATGAAGACACCACAGCACTCTATCCAGAGTGACAGTGTGAGAGAGACTCTAGAAAAAAGAAAAGGTACCCAAAAGACTCGCCACAACAAATCACAAACGCTATCACTTGCATGCCACTCTAATTCCCTCCATACACCAACACACAGCAAGCAGCCAGAGACAACTTTTGAAACATCGACATTTAATCACGCCTCCCTTCGTTAAAACCTTTTAAATAGCCTCCCACAACTCTTAAGAAAGAGAAAATTCAATGTGTGGTTAAAATAAAAACCTTGCCGTGATGCAGCCTTCCCTGGTGCCATTCCACATGGCCAGTCTTCCGCCAAACTCAGTCACACTCACACTGCCCACTTTCTAGTCCTCGAAACAGCCAACAGCTTTCCAGCTTTTGAACCTTCGCACAAACCATTCCTTCTACAGAGAGCAGAGACAGACAGTGGTTTCGACCTCCTAACTTCAAGTCACTGGGACCTGAATTCTGCAGGCTCAGTTAGCAACTGAGTAGCCTCTCACCCGGGCAGCCCTCCGCAGTGTGTGCCAGTAGGTGATTGACTGAAGACCCGGTTTCAGATCTTTTAAGCAACACCAAGCTGGATGCCAGCTAATAAACAGCACATTCGATTGCTTACAGAGTACTGGGTCCCTTTATTCTCGAAACCACCAACCACGGCACTGAACCTTGAAGTAGAGCGACCCATCCACCCAGAGTTGAACAGTAAGTGTAAGGGTTGCATTCAAAGCCAGCACTGCTCTTGACCTCTAATCAACACTGCCCGTCCTCTGGCGCGTAAATACCACAAATGAACCTTGCAGGCTGGCAGCTATTACCCCGACCTCTCACGCCAGAGACCGGGTGCACGAGCCGAGATAGAGGGCCAACACGCGGCGCCTCTGAGAGAAGCTGCCACTCACCTGGTGCTAGTGCTGGTGCCGCGACCAGACACACGCAGCGACCCAGGCCTCCTCAACGCCGGCCCGCACGCCTCAAGGAGCCCCCGGCGGGCCCGTACGGAGGCAACACGCAGGTATCGCAGCCCTGGCACCATAGCCCGCGCCCCGCTACGCAGCCACAGGAGCCAGACCCTCTGCCGCGCGCCGGCGTTCTCTAGCCCCGCCCCCGCACAGGGACCAATGAGGCGCGCGCCGTCGCCCACGTGGGAGTAGCCGCCGGGCCAATGGGCGCACGCGGCGGAGGGCGAAGGGCAGGCCGGTGCCGCAGACGTGAGAACGCTCTCTCGCTCCTCGGACGCTGTGAGTAGAAGAGCTGGGCCTCGAGCGGGATGGGAATAGGTGGCGGCTCCGCTTTGTTCTCGCCCTTCTTCCCCAGCTAGGCCTGGTTGGAAACCTGGTCTTCCTGGCTGGGCGCCTTGGACCTTGACCGCGGAGCGGACTTGAGTCCGCGGGAGGAAGTCTGAGCGTGATTACGGGGAAAGCTCTAGTAGGCGGGCCTGAGGCCTCCCTCCTCACCCCGCCCCGGCCGCAGTGTCCAGCTCGCCCCCGTGGAGCCGAGGGGCGGGTCGAAGGCATTCCTGTGCACCTCTGTCCGCCCCAACCCCTGACCGAGGCTCCTTGTCACGGCAGAGTCTGACAGCCTGGGATCTTCTGGACTTCTTTTTTCCCCTGTGTCCTTTATTCAGATACTTCAACCATCTTAGGAATACTAAGCGCCCACTCTGTCCTGGACCGGGCGCTGGGTCCCGGATGAACCGGGCTGTCCGGCCTCTGCCGTCACTTAGCAGTGTGTCCTTGTCTTAAACACCACACCGAGACACCGTTTCGGATATGTCTCTGGCCTCTGAACGGCGGCTCACCTGTAGAGGCCCGAGGAGGACGGTGGGCGTGTGATTTTCCGTCACCTTTCCGGTCCAACACACACCCGTGCGCTGAGCTTGATGACAGTTTTAAATGTTCAGGGTTAGGACAGCTGAACAGAACAAAAACAGTGATATAACTATTTCTGAAAGGACTATTTCTGTATTTGCCTGTTTGATTCTTGGTTGCAGTCACTCAGGGAAGTCATTTCACTTCCTTGACTCAAAACTTTCCTTTGTGTCTCCTTCATAGGGCCGTTTTGGGTGGATTACCAGAGATAAGGCTCTTCAGGTGTTGCACACAGGAAAGCATTTGGTAAATGGCGGCTTAGATTACGTTTAAATGCCTTTACCGCAGAACAGGAGTACATACCTTGCTTTATTTTTGAAACCAATGTAAGATATTGTCAGCTTGTCCCATCAAAAATGAAAAAAAAATGAGATAGTTACTCAGCTTGTATTGTGTAGTGATTGTAGATTCCCCAGCAGTTTAGGAAATAATAGAGATCTTGTGTACCCAACACCCAGTCTCCCAAGGGATAACATCTTGCAAAACTGTTGCAACCAAATATTTAATACTGACACAATCATTGATCTCATGCAGACTTACCCAGTTCTAATTTTCTGTGTACGCGCATTTCTGTGTAACGATTATCATGTGTATGGAGGTACAGCACACTCCAGTCACCAAGAGCTTCTCTTCATTTGCCCGTGTATAACCCCAACTTCCACTGCAGCCCTCCCAATCTTTTCTCTCTTTCTAAAATTTTGTTATTTCAAGAGTTATATAAATGAAATAATGCAGTAGCTTTTGGGGATTAGTTTTTTTCCCTTAGCATAATCCCTGGAGATACATCCATATTGTGTGTATCGATTCCATTGTGTTACTGAGTAGCATCCCATAATATGGATTTGCTATGCACAGTATGTTCAGACATTCACCCACCTAAGGACTTGTGAGTTGTGTACTGTTTTTAGCTATTACGAATAAAGCTGTTGTGAACATAATGTCACGGCTTTTTGTGTGAACCTGTTTTTTTTTTTTTTTTTTTTTTTGCTTCTCTAGCATAAGTGCTCAAGGGTTCAGTTGCTGGGTTATATGGTGAGCACATGTTTAATTTTATAAGAAAAGTGGCTGTACCAGTTTATATTCCTACCAGCAGTGGTCGAGTGATCCAGTTTCTCCTCATTTGGTGTTCATATTTTTTACTTAACCATTCTGATAGGTATGTAGTAGATGGTTACTTCTTAGCTTGAACAGGACACAGTTGATTTATTACCTTAAATATAGAAGTACATGCTTTGAGGGGCTATGATCAGACTTCTGTGGACTCTGGGTCCTTAGTCATGAATTCTTTACTTACTGCATGATTTTGAGCATGTGCTGCTTACGTTAGCAAAGCTGAAAGAACTCAAAATATACATTTTATTTATTTAGAGACGGGGTCTCATCAGATACTCTGTTGCCTGGGCTAGAGTGTGATCATAGCTCACTGCAACCTCAAACCTCTGGGCTCAAACAGTTCTTCCATCTCAGCCTCCTAAGTAGCTAGGACTAAAGGCACAGCCATACCTGGCTAATTATTGTTAGCTTTTTAAAATATTGGGCAGCGCCTGTAGCTCAAGTAGTAGGCCTATAGGGTGCCTGTGGTAGGGCGCTGGCCCCATATACCAGGGGCAGTGGGTTCAATCCTGGCCCCAGCCCAAACTGCAAAACAATAAATAAAATAAAATAAAATAAAATTTATGGCTCAGTGCCCATAGCACAGTGGTTACTGCGCCAGCCACATACAATGAGGGTGGCCTGGGCCAGCTAAACAACAATGACAACTGTGACCAAAAAAATAGCCTCGTTGTGGTAGGCACCCATAATCCCAGCTACTTGGGAGGTTGAGGCAGGAGAATCGGTTAAGCCCAAGAGTTTGAGGTTTCTGTGAGCTATGACCTAACAGCTCTCAACCCAGGGTAACAGCTTGAGATTCTGCCTCAAAAATAATAAATAAAACATTTTATTTTTATAATATAGAAGAGGTCTTTTTTTTTTTTTTTATTTGGAGACAGAGCCTCAAGCTATCCCCCTGGGTAGGATCCTGTAGCATCACAGCTCACAGCAACCTCCAACTCCTGGGCTCAAGCGAGTCTCTTGCTTCAGCCTCCCAAGTAGCTGGGACCACAAGCGCCTGCCACAATGCCCAGCTATTTTTTGGTTGCAGCCGTCATTGTTTGGCGGGTCCCAGCTGGATTCAAACCTGCCACCTTGGGTGTACGTGGCTGGTGCCTTAGCCACTTGAGCCACAGGCGCCGAGCCTATAGAAGAGGTCTTAAATTGGTCTCAACTTCCAGGGCTCAAGCGGTCCTCCCACTTCGGCCTCCCAATAGTGCTAGGATTATAGGTATGAAGCCACATCCATGCTCTTGTTATAAAATTTTCTCTGCTTACCTTACCCCTAAGGTTTAACTGTATAGTAGATTGTTTCAATTAAGTAATTTCAAACAAGAGCTTACTTTACATCATACACCCTACAATGTTTGTATTCCTGACACTACCCTCCTTGGTTGCGAATTCATGTTCATCTTTCACCTTCTTCCATGTAGGTGAGAACCTATGAGAAGTTAGTTTAATGAGTGCTGTGTGATGTTGGCCCAAGGATATCTTTTGGGGCCTGTGATTCTAATCCCCAGTGAATTTCCTTGTTGATCTGTTTCACTAGATTCTACACACTGCAGGAATCTATAATCTGTAATGGGTGATTTACAAAGGGATGGGGTTGTAATTTGGGAGAAAACATGGTTTTTAGCAAACTGGGAAACTATCAAATCTACTCAAAAAACACTTTGTATATATTCTATTTTGAGAGTAATACTTTATTAGTCTGTTTTCTAAGTTACAAACATAATAGCAATTTTTCAAAACATTGTTATAAATCTATGGCTCTAAGCCATGTTCTGATATTAAAAAATTTGTTTTTATTTTTGTTTTCATAATTTGAATTCCTGGATTATTTATGGCAGCAATAATTTAGTAGTGTCTGCTTTCTAACTTTTAACTAGGTTCTTTTAATTTATTAGAGCTAAATTCAACAACTCACCACTAGAGGTCTCCTCTTCCCTTATGGAAAGCATTCCCAGAGGTACTGCTTGGATTCAGGCAGGACCAGTTCCCAGAATCAATTAGCCAAGTTGCAGTTGAGAAAGTAAAAACCTACCAGTTTTTTAAAATCTGTATTGCCAAATATAAATTTAATTTTCATTTTCAAATTATTTTAAACATACCTAGTAATTTTTAGAGATCACAGCTAAAGTAAATTCTGTCTTCCCTTTTAAGCTGAATTATAAGATGTGCCAAAATGAATCAAGTGTAAGTATTCAATTTTCAAAGACCACTGTAATTCACCTGCCTAATAACAGTTTATTTTGTTTTACCTTGCTCCATGGAAATGTCAACCACTGAAGACTATTAATAAATATTTATTAAACTTTTACATTATGCTCAGAAAAATGGAAATGAATAAGATGTGATCCTTACTCTTCCTTATTTCTGTGCATCTTAATCACCATTTAAGACCCATCTCAAAAGACTCTTCTGGTGTAAAGCCTTCCCCTCACTCCTTTCTCTAGGAGTGGCTTATGAGAGCCACTTGTTCACACCTCTGTTAAGAAGCTGTGTTGGACATTGTGTCTGTTTGTGTGTCATCTGTCTTCCTCATTAGAGTGCACAGTCTATAAGGATGGGAGCCCTGTCTTTCCCTCTGGGTGTCTCTACTTTGTTCTTTTGGTTTCTTCTCTTACTGTTGTTTCTTCTGCCCTGAGTATAGCAGACATTCAAGAAACATATTGAGTGAATCAATGAGTAGACGGACATGGCATTTGAATGAGGGCTTGAGGTTGGGTAAGATTTCTATGGATAGGGTGGGGGGAGCTAGTAGAGGGAACAGCCTGAGGAGAAGCTGGGAAGCTCAGATTTGTAAATGAGGTTCATGGTGGAGTTACTAGAGGTGGGCACAGCTAGAGAGAACTTTAACACAAAGCTGGAAAGTGTTGAGATGGGAGGAGGTAGCAGGGGGAGAGGTTTGCTGTAAAGAAGACAGAGTGATGATAGAAAGGGTTCTATCCTCAGGCCTCACCTCTCACTGTTCCACAGCTGTACGGTCGTCAGTCGCCTCCTCAACTCTAAGGGGATTTCTACTCAGGCATCTCTGCATTGAATTCTAAGGAACATTGAATGAGGAAGGAAAGGGCGCTGGGCTGGTAGGGAAGGGAACTGGGTTCAGATTTCAGCATTGCTACCAATTAGCCATGAAACATTAAGCAAGTACCTTTAAGCACATGCATTTATTAGTACCACACCTTGTTCCAGAAAGAATTTAGGGTGTCAACAAGTTACTTAATATGAAGACTTGAGTGTCCTCATCTCTAAATGAGAGGTTGGGTCTAGGTAACCTAAGTTCCTTCTGGCAGGAGCATTTTGTGACTCTGATCCCAATGGTTTGTTGGTCATCTCCACTTAGAATCCTGCCCAACTTTCATAAACATTATTTGAAATATGAAAAACTGTCTTGGCACCTGTAGCTCAGCAGCTAGGGTGCCAGCTACATACACTGGACCTGGCGGGTTCAAATGCAGCCTAAGCCTGCCAAACAATGACAACTACAACCAAAAAGTAGCCAGGCATTGTGGCAGGCGCCTGTAGTCTCAGCTACTTGGGAGGCTGAGGCAAGAGACTCGCTTAAGCCCAAGAGTTTGAGGTTGCTGTGAGCTGTGATGCCATGGCACTCTACCAAGGGTGACATAGACTCCGTCTCAAAAAAAATTTTAAATATGAAAAACTGGAATAAAAAAATGAACTCACAACCCTCCTGTTGTTGATTTCTGTTAATGGCATCACTATCCTACTAGCAACTCAGGACCCAAACTTGATGCCCTGTTCTACTCTGCTCTTAACCCCCTTCATCTCACTGAGTCATCTGAACTCTAACTCTGTAACGTCCTTTGAATTCCTCCTGACTAGGCCTTTTCCTAAGTCCACGTGTAGTCGAAGCCCTTGTTGGCTGTGTGTCTCATTCTGTTGACCCTCCATCTTGCTGCTGTCTGAGTGGATTCCCAAAGCACAACTGTAACAATCCCAGTGCTTTGTTCTCAAATCTCAGTGACTCCCAGCTGCCTGCAGAGTACCTCAGAATACCCTGGCTAAGCATTCAGGAGCATTCGGAACCTGACTGCCAATGCTGCCTCTTCTCATGACTCTCGTGGGCTAATGAAACTGAACTACAACGTACCTTAAATGTTCCTGTTCCAGCTGACAACCTGGCTAACTTTCTCTGGCACCCTGTTTTGGTTTTTTTTTTTTTTTTTGAGACAGAGTCTCACTTTGTCATCCCTCTGTAGAGCTGTGGTGTCACAGCTCACAGCAACCTCAGACTCTTGAGTTCAAGTGATTCTCTTGCCTCAGCCTCCAAAGTAGCTGGGACTACAGGCACCTACCATAACGCCTGGCTATTTTTAGAGATGGGGTCTTGCTGTAGCTCAGGCTAGTCTCCAACTTGTGAGCTCAGGCAATCCACTCCCAGAGTGCTGGGGTTATAGGTGTGAGCCACTGTACCCCGCCTCTCTGGCACCTTGTTGAAAACTCTTTTGAGGCATTTATTCGATTCTGTCACTTATTTTAACTACTTGTCTTAGTTCATGCTACCCTGCATTAAATTGTCAGTTCCTCAAATCAGGCTAAATTTTATTTATCTTTGTCTCCCCCGCCCCCAGCATACACACAGCTGGCACATTACTAGAGAAACTTGAATTGAGATAAATCAGATTGAGACCTGGTCCAAAAATCACTTTCTTACCTCTTGGTTATAGATTTTTACAGCTGGAGATCATCAAGCAAATCATCTCATTTTACAAATGAGAAAACCAAGGGAAAGGTGAAAGTTACTTGCCCAGTGTCGCTCAGCTGCGCTCACCCTGCTGCGGTGTCAGCACTGCCAGCCTTGTGATAGGTAGGTCTATTTTCATGTTTCCTCTTCTGTCTTAGGTGTAAGGCATCCTAACTTCTTTTTTTTTTTTTTATTTTGAGACAGAGCCTCAAGCTGTCCCCCTAGGTAGAGTGCTGTGGCATCACAGCTCACAGCAACCTCTAACTCCTGG